AGTATAGGTTTAGCTCGAGAATCCAAATATTTTTTATATTTTCTGTATATCTATATGATGTGATCTATGTGTATATTTATTATTGTTGTATAATAAGAGGGACATTGAAAGTTTTATATATACAGGGTGGGTCTTAAATAAGTACAAATATTTCTAGGGGTGGTATATTTCGGTCCCAGGAACACGTCTATGAGTTTTTCAACTGCTTTCGGTCACTTCCTGTTTCACCGGCAAATGACTACAATTTTTGATTTTTAAATGGCACTCTCGGTATTTTTTTACTATATTCGATAGAAAATAACACTCACTGAATAGAATGAAGTATCATATGTCAAAAGCATTTTTTTACGAATAATTTGATACCACACACTTTCTATTTCGAGTCAAATTTTCGTTACGAACCGCAAGTTATAATTTCAAATAAACCATATGCGAAAATGTCAAAAGTTGACATATGATTACCTAACCTAACCAAACTACTCAGAGTGTCATTTTCTATCGAATAAAGTAAAAAATACCAAGGGTGCCATTTAAAAATCAAAGTTTGTAGTTATTTCCGGTGAAACAGGAAGTGACCGAAAACAATTGAATACGTCAATCAATCCTAATTTATGTCGTATATTAACATAGCAAATTTCATTTTTTTATCTAAAAAATAAAAAAGTTATAGGGACGAGTCACTTTTGAGATGCACCCGTTATGCTCTATGGTTACGGCACTAAAAGAGATGCAAATACAGAAAAAATCCGTTGCCTCCGTTTTTTTTTAAATAAATCTTTTTTTTTAATTTTTAAACTTGAATAACTCGGATATTTTTGGACTTATTTGAAAAATCGGTGAAGAGAAAATATATTTCTCTTATCAATATCTATCAGACCTGAAAATATTTGCACTTATTTAAGACTCGCCCTGTATAATTCAGAGAATACTCGATGGAAAGATATATTAATAGTTTGGGATATTATTTTAGCTGTTTTTATTGATTGTTATAGCGGGCCTTTGAAAGGTTTAAAAAAAAACGAATTTAATACAAATAATTTATAAACCATTCGATTGAAAAAAAAGCGGCGTCAAAGACGGCTCGATGATTTTAGCGAGGTCAAGTCCTAGATGTTATTACTATAACTTTTAATCCTAATAAGTGACGTCTAGAGATTGACCTCGCCTAAATTACCATTGACCGTCTTTGACGCCGTTTTTTTTATCATACGGAGTTTATTTGTCAAATTCGTTTTTGATTTTTATCTCTATGACATGTTAAATTTGAAATTTTTAACAGTTAGATGAGACCTTTTGAATACTTTTTACACCAAAAAGTTTTTATTGTATGTGATTATAGATCATTTTATGCATATAATTAGGTTGTTGGATTTAAGTACTGATTTACAGTTAAATTAAAAATTATTAAGTGTTTGATGTAAAATTTTAACCGTATATGTACCCTATTTCAAGTTTTCTTGCCTACGAAAGGTATTTGTGTTGTAAATCGTCATATTTACTTTCATTTTAAGGTTGATATATATGACACAAAGTGCCTTTTATACGCGTTATAGTGCAATTACGCAATAACTAGGAATTTTGAGACTGTTATCTCGTGCAAACAAATCTACTGTAAACAAGGCTTTATTTAGTCCCTTTATCAGGTTTGTTAAAAAACCGTTACTTCTTAAGACATTTGTGAATATTGGAAATGTACTTAGATGTAAATTTAATGAGCTTGCCGCCTCTAAAGCTTTGTCTAATCCAATTTTAAATAATACTGATGATAGATCTCTTTTTTAATTTTAATATTTTTATTTTCTTGTTTTCTATTTAAGAGAAGAGTATGTTTTACTATTGGAATTATTGTGACCAGTTCAAACAGACTTTTTTGAGAACTGACTAAACTTAAGACTAAAAAAACATTGATTCTGCGTAACTAGTTGTAGGAACTGCGCAGAACTATAACTAAATGTTAGATACCTTTGTTTAAATTTTATATTTTATGTATTTTCTTTTTTTTTCGGTTTTTAGAGTTATATAAATGCGTAATAGACTTTTTTTAGCAAAGGTTGAATATGTAATACGCTAATATTGTTGCCAAATGTTTTTATATATGATATTTATAAAATGTACTGGTAATTTTAAGTCAAATTTATTACTTATAGTTAAATATTTTATTCTTTATGATATATTTACGAAAAAAACTATACATATACAGGGTTGTTCACCACATACGACACGGAGTATTGTAGCTAAACGATGAGATTTTTACAAATTGTAAGTTTGGGGTTCGTTGAAGGACTATTAGAGCTACAATTTAAAAATATTTTTACAAGATACAGAGTGTCCCAAATAAATAAAAAATATCAAAGTTGTATTTTTTTAAATGGAACACCCTGTATATTATTACATTTTTAGTTTCTACGATTAAAATAAAGGTAAATTTGATTAAGGTTTATTATACTTAAACATTACGTTTTTGAAATATTTTCAATTTTGTGAAATTGCAGTAAAAATTTTAAAGCTTTATTTCTCCAAGGGTATCAATGTTTTTAATACTAAATATTTAATGAAGTTTATTTATTGATCAGTTATTGTGTTGCAATAATAAAAATAATACTACTTTATAGAGAGTGTCTAAAAATTTACTTTAAATAATTATTAACTTCAAACGGCAACAACTTCTTTAATTTAAATAGAATGCCCTGTATATTTTAGGAGAATCAGATGCACAATTAAATTGTCTATCAAATTGTATTATACCATTTTTTACCTATCCCTTCAAGTTTTCGTAGAAAATGCATTTTCTTATAATTTAGACCTCATTTATCAATATATCCATGGAATATTGACATTTTAGATTGTTTTTAAAGCAACAAATGTACAAAATGTACAGACTAGTAATATTATCGTTTTTAGCAAAACGTATAAACGCTAGTAATATTATCGTTTTTAGCAAAACGATAATATTACTAGCCCATTTGTATGCAAACAGAAAACTATTTAAATATTTATAAAAGAGTATACCATTAATTAAATATAACACCATTATTTCCGCCCATATACTAATTAATTACATACTTAATTGTGTTCGTTAATAAATCATTATAAATAAATGTGGATTTGAGTCAGAAATCAATATAATTAAAAATTAGAAATATAATTAAAAATATAGAAAAATAATAATAAGTTATCAAATTAAAGTCTCTGTTGTTATAAATAAGCATTTATTAAAAAATGAAATATCATTTTTAAGGTGTTATTTTTTATCACACTGTCTAATGCCCATACAAAATTCAGTTTTTTAGTATTTGGAGCAATTATTATTAATCAACGCAAACAGTCAGTTAATGTAGTTTGAATACTGGAATCATATTAATTGGTCCTCTAACAAATATTTAAACAGTTTTCTTTTATTTTTTAATGAAATAAACGAATTATATCGACAATATTAGTATCTGTACTCTTTAAAAATTTGGTACATCTTTAAAAATAATCTAAAATGTCAATAGGCCATGGGTATATTGATAAATAAGTTCAAAATTACAAGAAAATGCATTTTCTACGGAAACTTAAAGAGATAGGTAAAAAATGGTATAATATAATTTGATAGACAATTAAATTGTGCATCTGATTTTCGTAAAATATACAGGGTGTTCCATTTAAATTAAACAAGTTATTGCCGTTTGAAGCTAATAATTATTTAAAATAAATTTTTAGACACTTTGTATAAGGTAGTATTATTTTTATTATTGCAACACAATAACTGATCAGTAAATAAACTACAGTAAATATTTAGTATTAAAAACTTTGATACCCTTGGAGAAATGAAGCCTTAAAATTTTTACTGCAATTTCACAAAATTGAAAATATTTCAAAAACGGTAAGGTTTAAGTATAATAAATCGTAATCAAATTTACCTTTATTTTAATCGTAGAAACTAAAAATGTAATAATATACAGGGTGTTCCATTTAAAAAAATACAACTTTGATATTTTTTACTTATTTGGAACACTGTATCTTGTAAAATTATTTTTAAATTGTACCTCTAATAGTCCTTCATCGAACCCAAAACTTACAATTTGTAAAAATCTCATCGTTTAGCTACAATACTCCGTGTCGTATGTGGTGAAAAACCCTGTATAACGAATCTTGCCAGTCTAGCAGTTGTTTTCTGCCAATGACACAGCCGAAACTGAAGATTGAAGGTAAAAAATAAGTTGCAATATTTTTATTTCTTGTTTTATCTTTGATGGTAGTTAGTTTGGGAATTTTATCTTAGATTGTGTAGATAATTTATTTTTTATTTTATGTTAGTTACCTTCTATATTGGATTATTAGTCGATATATACGTTCATATAGTCTTATTTGTTTTTTTTTGTTTAAATGTTGTGTGGAAATAAAACAGATTTATTAATTTTATTTTATTTGTTTTTCTTTTATTAGTTAGTTCCTTATATTTGTTTTATTTAAAATTAAATTTTGTTTTTGGATAATGTTTTTTTAAATAATTCATATATTTTTGGTTTGCATTAGTAAGTATTGCAGATTGCACATTAAAATCTGTATGTACTTCTTGGGAGTAAAAATAATATTTTTTTTGTGGCGATGCTGTACGTTTGACATTACAGGCGAGGCACAAAAAGTCATTTTATTCCGAATAGAACATGCTATTTTTTTTTAAACGTTCACAAATAATTTTTTTGGACAATTTCAAACATTGCAAATCATATAAAAATATTTAAAAGTTATAGCTCGGAAGTAATAATTATATATGGAGAAATTATGGTTACACTCGTTGAATTTGACAGTTTATGCCAATTTAATAATATATTTTCGTACTTTTGTGCCCTAGGCGTTAAAATTACTTTTATATCATTTTGTGACGTTGAAAAAAAAAGAGATTTATTACAATCCATATACTATTTTGAATTATTTAAAAAGAAATTATTTATTTTAATTATTCTATTTTGTTTTTCGTTATTTTTATTTGTTTTTCTGTTTCCTCTTTTCCATAGACGTAAAATACATGACACAACAGCAACTGTTCACGCCCAAGGTAGAAGTGACGGAAAATTTCGAAAACAACTCAGACCAACCTAGCAACAATGCCACTCCCGAGTCCAGTCGTATCAGTACACCGGACAGCGTGCTCAACAACAACAACAATTTGAGCACGCCGAGCACCAGCGCCCTCACGATGAGCGCGCCTACCAACAAGCCACCTGTCAAACGACGCATGCGTCGCAGAGCCACGTCACAGAGCCAGGACCCGGCCGAACAGCTGACGGAAATGTCCGTCAGGGGGCTGAATCTGTTCAGATACGCCTCGATCAATGAGGGGATCTATCAGTGCACTGAGTGCGCCAAAGTTGATGTGACCAAAACGTTCAAAAACAAGTACAGTTTTCAGAGACACGCATTTCTTTATCACGAGGGGCAACAGAGGAAGGTATTCCCGTGTCCTGTGTGCCAAAAAGAATTTTCTCGACCGGATAAGATGAAGAACCACATGAAAACAGTTCATGATTGTTTCATGCCTAAAGATGTTGTTAATGATGTGGTCTTCCCTACGATGGGGTTCTACCCAACCATTTAGAACAGCATAAATCGTATTTGATTCAAAAATGGTGCTATCCGTCAATATACAGTTTTTGAGAAGACATTTATACGCACATAACAGGGGTTTTCATACTACTCGTACTTTCATACTAATTTAAATACATATCGGAAGTACTTCCGAAAATATTTTTGAATGAATGGGAGTTATTTGAAATATCCCTGTATTTCAAAATGTTATTACTTAAAATACGTTTGAACTAAATTGTGGCGTAAAGTAGATACAAAAAAGAGTACAATAGTAGAACTAAGTTAGAAATGTGATCCAAGCCAAGCTTGGTTTAAATATCGACCTTCCGAAGGTTTAAACGCGTAGGTTAGGATTATTTTGTAGATCTTTTTATTAACTCTGCTAAGCAGTGGTTTATATTCGCCAAACTAACGTACTATTAGATTATGGTTTGTTCTAGTTTCATTTTCTGTCAAATGAACCGCATAGAAAACACTATAACCTTTTATATCATAAGAGTGACATAATTGTTATTTATATGTTAAGGACATATATCTGCTGTATTAAAAAGAATATAGTCACTCCTGAATTGTTTGATCATCCTGTCGAAATGATTTTTAATGTGTTTTTTTTAGTTTTCAACATGTTTATAAGTTATTTTCTTTGTTAGCTTTGTTAACTTTTCTAGTTTTTTGATCAGCGAACAAAAATATTTTATAAATGCCAGTATAAACAGTTTTTCTAGTAGGCATTTCGGTTTATTTGACAGAAAATTTGAAAAAACTTCTTTTTACGAATTCGGATTGGGTTTTGCAAATAATTAGGGCTAGAAATAGCGGAGTAAAAAAGTTTATTTTTAGAATATTAATATACAAGTCAAGTCTAAATTAGTACAGCTGCGCAGACTTCAGACAATAATAATACTAATTATAATATTGTTGAAATATTAGCAATTCCTGCTGCGTAATACAGAGATATTTTTCTTAAAATATACAGACATCATTTTCTTAAAATATATTTTGCCTAGCCATTAATTTTTTGTATTGAATATTTCTTTTTAACTTAAATTATTATTAATAATAATAAGTACTTGCAATAAACACTTTTTGGCGACAAAAAACAGCTTAAAATCAGGCTAAAACACTTCAAAAATATGTTAAAATAGTTGATAATGTATCATATCAATACAAAATTGATGGTTAGGTTAAAAAACATTATTTTTCTCTAATATATATTTTACCATGTCGTTCATATATGACGTTGAAGTCTTTTTTTTAAGGTGTTGGGAGAAACAAAATGAAAGTGATCTTTAATTCTGTTTTTTTTATATAGAACCTCTGTAAGTAAATGTTATTTATTTTTATTCTCTATAAACCTTTGTTTTCTGTTGATTAATTATACTTAGTTTTTAAGCTCTTTTTTGACAATTTATATATATTTTTTGACAGTATAAAGAAAATTCGGTTCTTTACATTCAAGGCGTTAATGTTTTGTTTCATATTTTTTAATCTGCCTCGCAAATATGTTTTTTTTTTCTATACAAAATCATTGCAAACAAGTTTTTTAGAGCCAAATAAAACTTGTTTGTTTGAAGATTTTGTTTCGGTTGTTTCAAACTGTTATTTTGCAAATTTTGTATGTTTTATAAAGATTTTTTTATTTGTAATTCATAGAGCCAACGAAGTTTGTGATTATAAACAGTTTGTAATAATGTCTCGGAAATCATAGAAATATCATTTGAGAACGATATAAAGAAATATAGTTTCTAAACTCTTTATATTTTTTTGTATTGTACTTGAAACATTTCAGTGCCTATTAGATACATTTTTAAGGTCTAACAGTACGTTCATTTTAATTTTAAAGGGGCAGATGTGACTGAATTAAGGCCATCACAACATTAACTGTAGTTTTAAAACTAACCAACTATTATTAGAGTTTGCTAGGTTATTTTTCAATAATTTTCTTCATAAAAAGCCTTGAAAAAGATTACTACTATGTTGTGTCTCGGTACACTATGTACAAAATGTTTATTTCTTCAAATGAACTTGTTAGTTTTTTATATATAATAATATAATATTTTCTAATAATAACTGAACTTGGCAATAGTTTACAATCACTATGTGATAAGTTTTTTTTTATTTTTTTTTGTTTTCACTTTTGTTTAACGTTTTGTTAGGCCTTGGCCAGTTTTGTCGTCAAAGTTCTTCCAACAGAGGGAGCTCTACGGTCGAAAAAATTTCGACAGTGGTTTGGTAGCGCACCTTGTCTTCATTAGGATGCTTAGGATACACATTTATAAGTGCAATTACTATATAGATATCTATATTTACTAATGTTAATTAGGTTTAGGGTTGCAGGTTAAAAAAAGTATATATAATTTTGGCAAGTTCTGAATTTGCCAAATTTTGTTACTAAACTATATACGGTAAAATTTAATGACTAAATTTAAAGAAAAAGTTATATACTTGTGTTAACCCTTTTAGTTGTATTTTATATAAAAAAAAAATTAAATTCGTATTCTGGGTATATATTCGTTCGCACAAAACTATTTTCTCGTCTCGATGATTTTTTTACAAACTCGAAAATTTATTTCTAACAATGTAAATATTTTGATGACAAAAGAAATAAAAGTAATTTTTTATATACCCAGAACTTCACAGTTCTTATTTTTGTGATCACATTATTCATATTTTTTTTTCTTTATGTACACATTTTCTTAAATATATTATATTATTATGCTTTAATTAATAAATAAATATATATGAATTTATAAATATGTTAAGTTGTAGATGAAATGAAAAAAAAAACTGAATGCGATGGTGCAAAATAATGTATTATAACCTTCTTGTATACCTATACAAAGTTTATTTTAGGTAAAAGATAATAAAGAATGTGTAATGTATTTTTCCTTTATTAATAAATCTACCTCTAATAATAACACCAGTGTTTTATTTCTAATTTTCATTTAGCAATCTTAGCAACTTGAAAAAAACACTTTATACATGATTCATTTTATTCCTTAAAATCTGACATGTCTTTCAAAGAGGATTATCTGGATTATTCCCAAGAAAATAACCAAAATCACACCAATCTTCCATCTTCAATTATTGTAAATCTTGAACACTATCAGCAGAAGCAGGAAACTGTAATAATATCTACGGAAGAAGCTAGGAATATGCTTTGTTTAGAACAAATTAAAGGTATGTAGTTTTGTAGTTATAGGATTTATAGTCATTTTATTAATGGTTGATAGCACAAGACCTTCATTATAAATGCAAACGGATGGGATAAATTTTATTTTAAGGGTATGTAAGATATTTTCCGGGACTGACCGTACCAGTGTCGGGTATTAGGGTTTTAAGATTTAAGTTTTGTTAAAATATATTTTGCTACAACAACGTAAAATAATATGATATTGTATACAAATATGTATTTACCCGTTATTTGGTATTTTCAGTAACAGTGGATTATACGACATATATTAGTGAAGAAATATAAAGTTTTTTTTAAGAATAATTTGTAAAAGATGTAGCGTCTATGGTTTATGATGTTTTATGGCCCCAACCCTTCCCGCTGTGCTACCAACTATTAAGGAATAGCTTATAGTTATGATTAAAAAATGTTACAAGGTTTAATATCATGACAACTCATTTTTTTTTCAAGTCAAGCCATGATTAATATACCATATTAACACTGTTTCTTGATATTAGTGATGGGCAAAACTGTTATTTTTAGATAACAGTTGAAACTGTTATACTTATTTGTAAAAAACAGCTTAAAATAACAGCTTAAAAATAACAGGTTTCTTTATTTTATTGCTAAATATCTGAAAGAGTATGAGGCGGTCACCGCCAGGCGTATTAACGCAGTTGCAAGTTGCAACAATGACATGCACGGTGGTAGTATTTCCAGGGTGTCAAAACATTTCTAAATATCGATAGTTATCTAAAATACCTCTCTAAAAACGGTGGTTGTTTACAAATAAGCGCTGTTTACAAATTGCGATAAAAAAGTCAAAATTCCGCCACTCGTCTATGCGTATACATTCCGATCTACCTACGCCTTGCCCCTCGATCCGCGTAGATCCTTAATTGCGTAGCAGTGTACAGGGTGCATCTCACTCAACGGGCGAGAAGCTCTTAGTTAAAATTTTACCATTTGCGGTCAAAAAATAGCAATATAAGAAAATGTGTAGTATATTCTTCATAAGTAAACCAACTATACACTAGAGTTCGAATTAATTTTACACTTAAACTAGCGTGTACCCGCGACTTCGTTCGCATCGAATTAATAATTTGTAATGGTGATGATAAAGCAAAGCAAGAATTTTTATTAACATACAAACTGCAGCAGTTTAAGCAGAATCGTGGTTAATCAATTACTCAACTTTTTGGAACACCCTGTATGATTTTTTAAAAAATTTCAAAATATATAAAAAAACAAAATAAATTATGCGCGTCCAAACGTTTTCCCGAAAGACTAACCGTTTTTTAAATAACAAATATTGTAATTTTTGAGGGGCGTTTTCATCCTCTTGGAATTTGAGATTCGAGAAACCCCTCCTTATCGAACCTCAACCCCACAGTCAATCCGTTTGCCAAAAATCAGCTTTAAACGTCAAGCAGTTTAAGCAGAATCGTGATTACTCAATGGTCATATTTTATGAAACACTCTGTATATATTTTTAAAAAATCTTAAAATATGTAAAACAACGAAATAAAACATACGTGTTTAACAGTTTTTCCGAAAAACTCACCGGTTTTTAAATCAAAAATATTCTAATATTTGAGGGTGGTTTCACCCCCTTAGAATTCGAGTTTCGAAAAATCCCTTCTTATCGAACCTCTACACCCTAAAGTCAATCCGTTCTCCAAAAATCAGCTTTTACGTCAAGGGCTTTAAGCAGGATCGTGATTAATCAATGACCATATTTTTCAAAACACCCTGTATACATTTTTAAAAAATCTTAAAATATTATTCTGAAAATTTTTCAGAATAAATAAATACCTAAATATTGAAACTTAATAACGTACTGAAACATTCAGCGCCATAATATCTCGACCTCCGCCCGTTATGCTCGTAACAGGTTGAAAAACAATGTATTTAAAACAACTGATGCGTTATTCTCCAACCCGTTGCGAGCCTCCATCGACAATCGACCGATGCAGCAGCGTTCCTTTCCCACTCCTGTTATCTCGACCGCCAGGCGTTATGGCCGCAACCGTTTCAAAAAACCTGCTTCTTTTATATCCTATTATTTTTAAGCTGTTGTAAGCCCAATACGACCGTCGACGGCATCGACCGAAGCAGCTACGTTCGCCGTAGCGCATTCCCCACTCCGTTGTCCGTTGTCTCGCCGCCTGTATCGATGGTTGACGAAATAACATGTTTTCCATCCATACTAGTTGTTTTTTGGAATTGCTTCGAGCAGCAAAGAATTTCGTGACGGTGCAGAGCGCCGACTTCGTTTTTCGTTTTTATATTGATCTCTACGTGTCGTTATTTTATATCTGTTATTTTTTAGAAGTAGTAACGGTTGCGTTATGTTATTTCTAAATAATTGTTATAAAATAACAGATAGTTAAATAACAACCCATCACTACTTGATACCCTTTGTTGTTTACGTAACGAAGATAGTATATGGTTTTTATAATAACGGTTATACCGTAAGATCGAAAAAAAAACGGCATCAGCTATGGCTATGAAATGAAGATCACTGTCATTTTATATGTACATTTATATAGGGAATGTCATAGATTGTCATTTCCCAGCAAACAGGACGCCGTTTTTTCCATCATACGGTACCATAAGATTGAAAAAACGGCACCAAAGACGGCTGAGGAATAATAATAATTGTTGATAATATTAACAAGTCAAGCCCTAGACTTGATCCGTACTCTTTTTATTTTTTAACAGCGCTTACTGCTAGATGGCCTTAAGAGTGTTGTAATTTATGTTTTTATCGAGTAAAAATTATTTCTAAATGGTGTAGGTATATGATTTAAAATTTAAAATTCGAGAAAAAAATATTTTTTGGAAATAGATTTGTGTGCCTGAAAACGTTCTGTCTTTTTTTAATCTTTCTAGAGAATGATTTGGCTAAAATTATTATTTTAGCCAATAAAAAAAATATTTAATTGTCATTCTTCAGCCGCCATTGACGCCGTTTTATTATCGATTATACGGTATAATAAATAAGATTATACTTTTCTAGTTGAGCCTGTGGATCCTTTGGAGACTTGTGAAAAAACGGCTACTGTTCAGTTGGTACCTATAGCAATTGATACAGAAGTAAATGCAGGGGTACACTTCCTGACTGATGACGAGTCTTCCAAAAGTGAAGACAGCTACGAAAAGAAGAAGCGGGAATTCTTGGAATATCTACCCCAAGCTGATGGTAAGCATACGGTACCTTACGGTACCATCAGCGACAATTTGAGCGATTTTTAATAGTTTGTGTGTAGTGAACTTTGTATAAACTTTATTACAATGGTGATTAGTTGATCGGCTTTCAAGTGTAAAAGCCGCAGCGATAAGAAAGAGTCAGAAGTTACGTTTCATAGGTAAATAAACAGTCCCCTCCACCTTTTTAGCGTTTTCTTAGTTTTCTTATTGAACTCGACAATTATTTTTCTGATACGTAGTTGATACGTCGATACTAGTTTTGTACCTTTTGTTAACATTTTAATACGTTTTTTTTCGTAATTAATTAGTCAAAGCATTTATCAAAAAATATAAACATCTCTTCAAACAGCTAAAAAAGTATGAAAGTAAGTTAAACTAAGTTAAGAAAAATATGTGCCACGGCAATATTTGGTGACATCGTAACAATTTGCTCTCGGGTGTTATTTGTCCTTGAATTCTTTAGTCATTGATACATACCCATATTGTTCAATTGCCACTAATAAAAAAGACCTATAATAGGGAAGAATTAGGACGTAACCTCAAAATTTATGCCTAATCATTGAGGTTGACGTTTGAAAAGTCATTTTCACATTTATCATGTGTCATCAGTTTGACGATTTGAAATAGGCGCGCGAAGTGTCCTAACCAATGCACAGTGGTTCCCGATATGTCATTATTTTGTAATATTAATTTCAAAATGTTTGCATGAAACTGTTGCTAATATTTTTCTTATATTCCCCTGTAAACGATACATAATAAATAACAAAATCAAGTAAGCCTACTGTAGCGCTTTTTTTTTATTAGAAATGTCACATTTTTGCTACTGGTATT